CTAGGGGTGCAAATGGATCGAATCATGATCCAATCCAATCCGAGATCCAATCCCATTTGGTCGATTTTAGACCACCCCTGTTCGTCTCTTTGAATCAGACCGGATAATAGGATCCTATCAGAACTTGGATCGGATTTAAGATCACCCCCTATCCGATCTGAGAAGATCCGATCCGATATATATTATATATTTATAAATATAAATATATAATACATATATTATTTATTTATAAATTTGTTATATTATTATTTTTTATAAAAACATGTATATATATGATGAAAATAATTAAAAAATACATGTATTTTTTGTTTTTACTTTATTTAAATTAGTATATTTTAATAATTTATTAATTTTTAAAGAAAACAAGTTGGATTAGATCATATCCGAAGATCCGACTTACCGATATGTTTCAAATTCAAATAGAGTCCTATCAGATCCGATCATATCCAACATGAATAGTGTTAGATCAGATTCGAATATACCCTGATTCGAATCCGATCTGATCCGTTTGCATCCCTACTTGGTGCTCTCCCATACAATTGTTTCCATAACATCAATCTCCTGCCATAGTGACTTCAACATTGAGTAGTAGACAACTACACTCTTCTCCCCCTATCTCAGATTGTTCATATCATTCTTCAACTTATAGGCCCTTGCAACATTCAATTTTTGAAAATACATTTTTGCAACACCATCCAAAATCTCCTTAGTTGAAGTCATCTAGATATAATGTTGACTTATGTGAGGTTGCATAGAGTTGACTAACCATCAAATCACTGTGTAGTTCTCCTGCATCCATTTTTCATATGTAGGATTAGTCTCTGTCGATTTCTCCTTAATACTCGTGAGAAACCCTAGTTTACCTCTACTATAGACATAAATCTTTATAGATTGTGTCCAAGCCAGATAATTTGTACCATCCAGTTTGATTGTAGTCACTCCAATTAAAATGGAATCTATGAGACCAACCTTGAACACCGGGATCTACTTCATTTCACTTCCAGATTACTTCATTAACCAAATGAAAAACAAAAAAACAAGGTTTTCAATCTTTATAGACCTAAGGTCAATTCAATACCTAAATGTCCCAAAACTAGGATTTCACTGCATTCGGCTTCTAGGGAGAAAGAGAAAAAGAAATAATCGCTCCTACTAGAGCTTTCCAAACCTCTTCCAATTGCAACCACCCACTTCTAGAGATCAAAAGGAACCCCAAGCCTTGAGCACCACACCCAAACAATTTCTTTAACCTGTAACTCGAAACTCTGTAGTTGGCTAGGGTTTTGGACAAAAGATCAACAACCCCACTTTCTTGGCAATCTATAACCAAATTTTGACTCTCTAAACCCTCTACCAACTAGGCACAAAAGTCCCATGAATAATTAGCAACTTATCTCTCCATACGCTCTTCTAATCGAAGGGTGTATAGGAAAAGAAAGGAAAAACAAAAAGGAAGGAAGACCCACTCTGATGCCTAGATGTGGTTCAGTCAAATAAAAAACTATAAAATATTTTAGATTATAACAAAAGAGAAAGAATAAGAAGAAGAAAACAACAATACAAAGAAAATGAAGGAAAAGAAGGAGTTCGATGATCTCCTCTTCCACCTCTCTATTCTTTTATTAATCTTATTAAGATTGAATAAATTACAAGTTTGCCCTTAAGTAGGCGTCCGGCTCATCAACATACTCAAAAGAAAGCATAAAAATAATTAAAGGCCCATTAAGAAACAAAACAACTAGAAAGAATTAACAATAAGATAGTAATGGGCTAGGGCCCATTAGGCCCAACCTATCTACAATGTCAAATGATACTTCGACACTATATCACCCTTTGGGTTCTATTTGCTTGGATATCAAGGCCTTACTAGCCAATATGTTAGCATACTCTTTGAATCATATTTTGAGAAATTGTAAATCTTTGGGTGACTCCTTAGCCAAGATTGCTATGCGGCAACTTCGACTAGGTTCCGCAGCATCTGTTTTTTGAGTTTCCTTTTAATGAAATTACTTCTTCTTTGAGTACCCAAGAAAAAGGAAAATACTTAGCATTATTAACAATCAATGAGTATGGAAGAGAAAAATTCCATTCAACTTGATCGTAAGCCTTAGAGATCAAATTAAAGTAAAAAACTCCCATAATTTGTTCTACTCTAGTGCATCGAGTGCATTATTTCCAAAGTTATGATATTGTTGTTAATTACAAATTTTCCTGTTACAAAAGCATTCTGATTTGGTTTGATGAGGCTGGGATGAAGAAGGCAAATACTTTGAGTAATAATTTACACAATCACTTTATAACTTACATCAGAGTGACCAATGGGCTTGATTGCTTGAGGTCGACAACTGCTTCCATGTTCTCATTTGGAATAAGAACATGCCTTCAGCTTTTGTTACAAGCATCCTATGTATAGGGTAGGGTTTTTTTACTCTCTCTCGAAGAAAGAGGGGAGGTGAAGGGTCCTCTCACCATATCCTCTTCCCCTCCTTTCTCATGTATGTGTATACTTATTTTTAAATTAAATCATTAAAAATATAAAAATCAAAATTAAAACCTTACAGGTCTTCATTGTCTCTCATAAAATACATATTTACTCTCTATTAAGACCATTATTAAATATCTCTTTATCTATCTATAAGACTATAACCTTAATAGTTGATGTTTGTAGCACCTCCCCTCCCCATTAAATCTCTATTTTCCTCTTAAATACTTTTTAATCTCTTTGGTTCTCTCTAATAAAGTAGGGGTGTAAGTTAGATGGGTTGGGTTAGGTTAAGGGTCAACCTAAATATGAACCTTAGCTTGGACTCAAATTAATGTCAAAAAACCCAAAATTTCTCACTAGTACATGGGGTGAACGAATCTAAAGAAATCATTGCTCCTTTGTTTGGGTTACCAGGTATTCCCCCTTGTTTTTATTAATTTAATTCAGTATAGATTTGTTTAATGGATTGTTCTGGTTCAATAATAAATAACTTCCCTTAAAAGTAAAAAGAAAAGTCTGAATTTCAATTACTAAAAAGGAAAAGAAAAATATTTTTCCTACTATTCTGCATGTAAAATAGTAAAAATATATAAAAGTTTTTGGTGAATCTACTTCCCTTAAAAGTATATTTTTAAACAGCAACTTGTGCATTGCAAGGGTCACTGCTAGTTTGCTTATAATGGAGAAAATCAATAATTTTCAGTGGAAGAGAAGGAATGAAAAGGAAGAAACTAATTTGCTTTGCTTGCACAATTTGCAAGCTCTTTTAACCAATTTATTGGATATTATTTCTAGTTTTTTTTTTCTTTTCTTTTTCTATTTAGCCTACAATTGGAAGTGCTTCTTTTAAGTACTTATTGGGAAAAGCACTGAAAAGATTCCAAAAGCGCCCAAAAGAATCGTTTTGGGTGTTTGATAATGCTTTTTTGTGTTTTTTGGCTCATTTGACCCACCACCTAATTATCAAAATACCTACACTACCCCCAATTGAAAGAAGCGCTTTTTCACCAAACACTTACAAGCTGCTTATTTAACAAATACTTGTGAAAAGAAGCACTTATCCTCTAGAACTACAGCCTTCTTCCCAACTTCAAACTAACAGGACTTCTGGCCTTCTTTGGCAGCCTCCCCTTACTGGGGTAAAGATTAACACAGATGGGAGTTTTTAAGCAATTGGAAAGCAAGCTTTGGAGTGATTGCAAGGAACAGTAGAGTATTAGATTTAGCAGTTCCTTTTAGAAACAGTGAAGTTATATCAGCTAACCAGGCCGAAGCTTTAGCTATTGAAGGGAATACAGATGGGTTCTTCTCTTTCAGCAGGACAGATTTGCATTGAAACTGATTGATTGAACCTAATCCAGGCACCGGAGGGAGTAGACTTGCAATTAGTCAAGGGTACTCTGTTTTTTTTTTGCCAGGATATCTTAGACAGGTGGATGTCAAGAACTTTAGGTTCTGTTTTGTAAGTAGATCCAAGGTTCAAAGTATCGAAAATGCTATACATATCGGAAAGGTAAATTTAAGAGACATATCGGGATACGCCTTGGATACGCATGGACATGGATGAAAAATTAAGATACGCATTGAAATGCTATAAATACTCTAATAAGTCATAAATAAACATCAATATCACTAAATATAGGATGTAAATGAGCTATTTATGCATAAAAATAACACATTTTAGTGGATTTTATGAAAAAACATATTATAATCAATAAACGGGAAGTTGGGAATAGAAACATACTATCTAATTATGAACATAATAGATCAAGTAATTATTTTGCATGTTTTATTCTAATTTTCTAAAAACTAAATAATTATTTATTTTTATTCAAATAGTTATTTTGCACGTTTTATTCTAAAAATTAAATTAAAATTAAGAAAAGTAAATATGTAACAAAAAATTGAATGGATTTATGGACATAATAAATGAAATAATTATTTTGCATATTTTATTCTAAAAATTAAAAAAAAAAATAAATATCAATGTTTTAAAAGACAGAAACATTCCACTACCTAGAGGCATGAAGCATAGTTTAGAATGCAAGAAGCGTTAGGAAGGAGGAAGGGGGGATTTCATTTTTTTTTCTTTATCTTTAATAAAAAACCTTTATATTAAGAAAAATAAAAATGGTTTATTAAAACCATTTTGCTTACTCATTCTTTAAACTCTGACAACTAATTCATTGGTGAGATAATTGAATGGTTTATTAAAACGATGATATCAGTGATTTATATGATTCATCTAAATTCAACCCAAAGGTTCAAAGTATCAGTTTTCAGGGTAATCGGTACACCCAATAAAGAGTTGGGTGAATTGGTGAATATGTATGATGCGATATGGATACTCTGAACCAAACTCTGTTTGGGAAGAGTGCAAATAAATATGAACAAGTATAAATATTAGGTTTAGAAATACCATATACAACATCTTGCACTGAACATATATTTGTATTCGCACTCTTTTCAAATTGAGTCCCCAAGTATGTACGGTGCAAATACAAGGTCATACACATACTCATAAAATTTAGCACAGGTTCACTTAAAACAGCTCAATGGAGGTGTGTCGGCAGATTAGAAGCTAACATATAGTATTCATATTAATAAGATATAGGGCAAAGCTACAATTACATTACATTCTAAAGAGTTCTCTTACACACATATAAGGGAAGAATATTTACAATGATGATGCAAATGAGATAGGGTAAGATGTGGTTTTCTCAGACCTGAACGCCAATCCTTTCTGCAACCTGCGCCAGTAACTCCAATAAGTCAATGGATGGTAATAACATTAAAGAAAAGAAAAACAAAGTATTGACAGTAAAGTAGTAAATACACATGATAATTCTTTTATCCATAATTCATGACTTTGTCATACCTACACATCTACATTTTGATTCATCTAACAATCTTAATGCGGATGATATCATAGCTACGTTTGATGAGTTTTCAACAGACAAGTACAAAGCAAGCTCCACCAAAACTGGAGCACAAAGAACAAACTACAGAGCTGTTACAAATTACAACCCGGCCCTGGACAACTCCACTCCTTTTGTTCCCTTACAGCCCGCACCCTTGCTAATGAGTCTGCCAATGTATTATCACTTTTAGAGTTCTAGGAACCCATTTGATTGAACTATTCAAGTTAGACCCTAGAATTCGTGCCTGTCTAGCCATCAGCCTGAACTTCCAAGAGATCTCTTATAGTGTACTCATCCAGCAGATTATAGTATTGCAATCACCTTCCACCTCCACATCCCCATCATTTTCATAAGAAAACCATCTAGTGTTTGTGGAATTTGATAACTATTGCCCATCTCCCACCAAATGATCAAAAAATGGTTTAACCACAAAACTTAACCATATTACCTCCATTTGCAGAGTAAAAACTTTAAGTATCTTGAAATTAGTTTGCTCAACATAATTGACACTTTGTTGCATTTGTCACGAATCATGAAATTGCGATAGAAAGCCATGCCACCCTAAAATGGAGTTCAATAAAATTTTGCAAGTTAGGACTTGTCCACCAATCTGGTTTTCTTTGCCTTAGTTTTTTGAACTTTAACAATATTGTTAGCAAGACCTTATTTGCTATAAGAACACTGTAAAAACTGGATCCCATAAAATACAGTTTGAATAAGAACACTGTAAAAATCAGCAGCAGCCAGACTTTTTGATTGTTATTTGTTAGCTAATCTGGTTAAGAATTCTGTCAGAAATGTCCTAGTACAGATAAATTTGAGCAATATGCCAAAAGAAACCTGCCGTATTTTTAACTCTGAAACAACAAAGATGAGAAAATGGTAAACTTCAACTATGGAATACAAAATTATATAGAATAATGATGCTCTTTTCCTTGCTACAATGCCTTATTTTTCCAGATTGCTCTTTTATCATTGGAATTATAATCTCATTATTTAGATCCACCGCCTCATTTTTCACCTCTTTCAACAATAGGAATTGGCTGAAGTGACAAGATGAAATCCTACCCAGAACCTCTACATTTTCAGCTAAATTGAAGACTTGAAATCTAAAATTAGAGTTTTCATGCACAAGGAAATACAATAGTGAGTTTGAATTCCTTAATTTTATGAGTTATTCCTTTAACACTTTTACCTCCTGTAGTCCTATTGAATATTGATTAATTTGTCTTTTTCCAAACTTCAAATCATTTTCCTTTCTTGTTGATTATTTGTTTTTCATGATCATATCAGAGTAGCTCTTAGTCATTACTTGGAATGAAGTAAAAGAGGAAACTAATTTTCAGTGTTAATTTAAACAACATTCTGATTTTGCTCTTAGTTAGTTGCATCCTTCACATATCTTACCTCATGTTTTCCATGTTTCTCTAATCCTTTCTCAGTTTGGACAAGCATCCGCTAATGCAGTGCAATCCAAGGTATCATAGCAGATGTTAACGCATATATGATGTTGATTATAGCACATTGGTTCCACGATAGTAGTCTAGCACTCTAACTAACAACTATCCAATTTCCTGATATTAGAGTAATACAATGCAAAGACATAGAACTGGGTGCAAGTAATATACCTCCTTGAAAGAGTGAACATCACTTCCCCAGAGCCAAGCATCACACCCCGCATCTCTGGCACCCCATATATCATTCCTTCGATCATCGCCAACATGAACAGCCTCCTCAGGTTTTACTCCCAAAAGTTCACATGCCTTCAAAAATATTTTAGGATTTGGTTTCTCTGCTTCAACCTGTTGTGAAAAACATCATGGACCATTAAAATGGAAGTAGTATAATATGGTCAAGCCACCATAGCTTGATTCACATACCTCAGCTGACACTGCTATAGCATCAAACCAATGTTCACAATTCAAAACCCGCAAAACAGGCCGTAGTCGTGTGTCAAAGTTAGAAACAACAGCTATTTTCACACCAGATTTTCTAATGGCCTCAAACACCTTCTCAGCATCAGGATCACAGAGGTGCCAAGCCTGTGAAACAGTCAAAGGACATAAGTTCAAAATTCTGTAGATAGAAAGGTATATAAATGAGAAAATTTTCTAATAGAACTGCCACAACCTTGTCAGTTGTATAGTAGTTATAAAGTTCCTCAAAGTACTCTGAATCTGAACAACCAGTGGAAGATTTGACTATGAATTGCCAGAAGGGTCTTCCATCATCAACATATCTGCACATAGAGAGAGCCTCAAAAATGCTGCACACTGCAGACAGAAGAAAAGAAGGTGCCACGGGAGGTGAAAATTTTCAGAGTTGAGAGTTGAATAAAGAGCAAGAACAATTCATTTTTCATTGTTTCTTGTTACGGATGATCATTTCTAGCCTGGACCGGACCAACATCAAGCCTAAAAATATGTGGGCCAGGCCTGGGCCCAGTACTTCCCAGCCTGCCTGCAATATATTTAATGTGTGCTACTTTACACTATAATATATGGTATATATGTTTAATATAATGTATATAAAGCTATAGGCCCAGAAGTCCAGCCTCCAAATGCAGTGATCATCAACTCCTTTTAACCAATAAGCAAGATCAAAGTGTGCAGGGATCTCTAAGCATTCTTCACCTATTTTGAGTATAACCACAGTTTTAAATATTAGATTCAACTTGAGTACTACACCCATCACAAAAAATTTGACATTAATGTAAATGAAGCACCTTAAAAAAGTGTGATATTTTCTGGAATCCCCAACTTATGAAAAGATGATATTTCTGGATCTAATTGACTTCTCATTCCAAAGACTTTCTGGTTAATTTTCATTCCAGGAATCAACCAGAACAACATTGAAAGTTAATGCTGACCTGTTCATGGGCCGGGTATCCCAACGGGCCGGCCTGGCCCAACCCATTCTAAGTCAGGCTTGGACATGAATTTAGGCCCATAGGCTCAGGCTTGGGCCCAAAACACCAGGCCCGATATTTTTTCAGGTCGGGCTCGGGCTTTCCCAGAAAAAAAAACCGGGCCCGAGGCCAAGCCTGACTTGATAATAATATTATATAACAAAAAATATATTTTATATAATAAAATATATAATATGTTATTTTCTTTGTTTCTCTTCTCTTTTTTAATATAAATAAATCAGTTTTTTATTGATTAAAAAAAGAAAAAAATTTTTTTCCAATTTTCTGGCCAGGCTTTGGGCTCTATGAGGACCGGGCTCAAGCTCAAAACCTAGGCCCAACGGTCAGGCCAGGCTTGGGCTCAGGCCTGAATGTTTTATGTTAATATAGAGACAAAGACTGGTCCAAATCCGGCCCGTGAACAGGTCTAGTTAACACAAAGTGCTTAATATTTAGGGCATAAAAAAAAAAAAAAAACAAATCAATTGTGGAAAAGCCACTAGACATCTTTCTCTAAGGGCTAGGCAAGATATCCTTATCTTACTAAAGCATAAAATATTTCCCAACATTGTTTATCATAATATAAAGGTTAAAACCAGCAACCCAATAATCGTGTTTCTGTGAAAGATATGGAAGATAAACTATATGGGTCCTTCATTTTACCCCAAAATTACCCAGAAAATAAAATGCTGTATGCATGAGATACTCGTGTATACTTTCAAATGCATATCCTTCTTTCCAATTCCGAGTTTCATAAATTGGATGCATAACCATTTATTTTTGGGCATCCAACCAACATAAGAATTAATTGATATTGTTACAGATTTTGTTTTCTAAGTAATTACCAGAAAAACACTAAAGTCAGAATTAGTGTTTTTTTTCTGGTTGGGTTGTGAATAATTGCATGTATCAAGTTCATCATCAAACTAAAGATGTCAATAATGGAGGGATCTAGATTGCATACTAGGGTAAGATAAAGAGATGAGCTGCAACCAAAAGAAAAAAAAAAAAAAAAGAAGTTTTATGTCTGAATTTCTAGCTCTTGCATCATATACAGTTACTAAGTTGTCACTTCCAATATGAGGTAAAGAAAAGGAACTCTCACGACCAAAATATCCAAAACTGTCGTGATAACAACTTCAGTAACCGAAAGAACAGGGAGACCAGTGTCTATAGCTACCATACTAATAGCTTCAATATCAATATATTTTTAACATGATTTAATTTTTAGTATACTTCTGATCTCTCCAAGGAATTTTTAACTTAGTTATTTAGATGCAACTGAGAATACCTGGAATGGATCTCATACCCATAATCACCTCAAACTAGATCAACATGGGTGGGAACAAAATAATTTATAATTATTAAAGGTGTCTACGGTAGGGAAGAGAAAATTTCATTCAATAAATAACTTCTACCAATTACTAGCTTACATTTTCCCACCTTCGGGATCAATTCTATGAAGGAAGAACTAAACAACAATTCAACAAAGAAAAAATGAAAATATAAAAGTTCACAAAATTCTACGATAAAAAAGCCCACAAAAATCTATAAAATTGTTGTAATTAGTTTATAGGAGATAAATATGGTCTCAGTCAACTTCACCAAGAAGATGATCAGAAAAATAAAAGAAGGGAATGCAAAAGGCATCAGAGGAAGGACCCTGTTTACTGTTTTACATTTTCTAATTTTGTTGTCATCAAATATGAAACACTATTCCTACAATTTCTAATTTATAATTGTAAGAAAAATTAATAACGAAAACCCAAATTTTCAAAATTCCATATCAGCCCACAAAGATTCTCGAAGCCACAAAAGGAAAAATAAAATAAAATAAAATAAAAACAAATACTAACACAACAAAAACAGAACTAAAAAAAATCAAAAGATTTCACAAATGTGAAATGTGCAACGAAAGCAAAGCAAACCTGAGCCGGGATCTGCCCCAGGGCTGCCCGTACGCCCACCGGTACCGATTTAGTATCTCATCTTCCGAATACTGCACTCCATATTTCTCTCCAATCTGTCTATAAATCTAAAAAGCAAAGAGCAAAAATCAAAATTCAAAAGAGACGAAAAAAAATCAATTGCAACACAGTTAAACAACAAGATTGTTCATCACTCATCAGTGTGTCTACACTAAAAATTACTCTTACTCACTTGCGCCGTGGGTTGGGAGGGAACGAGGAGGGTCCCAACAGCGTCGACGAGAAGAGCCCTGTGAGTGATATCACCGTACAGAGACCTCCTGTAGTCATAATAATCCTTCGCTCCCAGGAACTCGAGACCCAACTGTCTAAAACCAACGACCTCCGCTTCCTTAGATGACGTCGAAGAAGAAGAGGAGTAGGAAAATGAAGAGAGAGCTTTGAATGGGTTGCTCTGATTCTTCGCTGCGAGGACGTTGGAGCAAGACCTTGCTGCAAAAACCGATCTTCCGTCGATTAACTTTCTTAGAATCCTAGCCATCTTCGTTGTCGCTGATGCAGTAAAAAGCTGGTCTTCTTCTGCTTCATCTATCGTTCACATTCTGGCCCTGGCCGTTGGTTTCTGCCTGCAACTGGGACGCTCTGCCACTGAGGTGGCCAAAATATAAGGCTGGCCCGCTGGAGGAGTGGAGGCTGGAGAGGGTGTGGATTGAATATGCCCCCGAGTGTACTTTAAATTACGACTATGCCCTTTTACCTGTTTGTTGCTTTGTTGGGGGACATCACACGTCAGTGAACTGTGATCAGAAGCTGCGAAAACTCCGAGGAGATATTATATCGCTTTAGGGGATGATACTACATTATTACGGTTATTACCATTAGGGGCGACAAATTTCCTACTCGGGCCGTCATGTTTATTTTTTGCAGGTGCCCCTCTTGAATTTTTTTTTTTTTTTGAAAATTCCACCTTGAACTTAATTGAACGTTATTTATTTGTTGAAAATGTCAAAATTACTTTTAAAAAATACTGTTTATTCTTTTTTATATTGAGATTAAACTGATTGAGGTGTTTGAGATTTCAGATTAATAAAGTCATTGTCTTCTACTTCTAGGTTTGAAATACATTCTTATCTAGTTATTTCTTTGCTTTCAGTTATTGTTTCCCTATATCATATTTTATGTTTTTTTCCCTCTTTTTCTTTGAAAATAACCTTATTAGTCTCAAGGTAGAAGACAATGAACAATATATTCTTTTGAATGATAGTTTTAATATTTTCAACAGATAATTGACAGTTAACAATAGGGACCAACTTGACACTTTTTGAAATTTTATGTACTGCAACGATACATTTGAAAGTTTGGGTACTAACTTGACACTATCCCCAAAGTTCAGTGTATTAAAATGGAATTTTCCCTTTTCTTTTTCATTCCACACATGAGAGTTGAATGTTAATATCATCAATCATGACCATCCATCAAGTATACAACCCATTTAGATCCAACATTGTGAAATTTTCAATGAAGTTAAGATCTTCCTCTAAGATCTCATAATTGGTTTAAGTTTCTAAGAAAAGAGAAAGTGGTTCCTCCATTTGGGTGATCCAAACAATAAACTGACTAAAGTCTTTAGCCATTGTGAAATTTTAGATGCAAACAAACCTCTAATTTAGCCATGTGGCGGGATGATGCAAACAATAAATTGATTAAAGTCTTTTTAGTTTTTAATGATGAATGTTTCTAAAATTATAATAATTACTTTTAGAAATGTATCGAAGTTAGTAAACCTTTATTGGTTTTGAAGTATGAATGTAGAGAATGTTGTTTTGAAATTTGAATATTGAGTTGTGAAAAATGATAATTGACCATTTTAACATTGGATATGGAAATGTTTGTTTAATTATTTAAAAAATTAATTAAAAATAATAAAATGAATATAAAATAATTAAATATTTTATATTTAATGTTTTAAATAATATAATTGATAACAAATATAAGTAATTAAATATTTTTAAAGAAGTGAGTAACTATTAATTAATTAATAAATATTTCAAGTAAAGAAATGCATAATTATTTTAAATAAATTATTAAATTATTTAATAAATAATAAAATAATTTATTAAGTAATTAAATAATATATATAATTTACAAATTAATAGTTATTTTTAAATATATTATTATTGTTGTTGTTGTTATTATTATCATGGTTTTCAAAACCGGACCGGACCAAACGGTTGGATTGGAAAAATCGGGAACCGGTCACTTGACAGGTTCCATTATTCCCCAAAACCGTTGATTTTGATCAGCAAACTGCTGAACTAGTCGATTAACCATTCGAACGGTTTTGACCATTTTTCATTTTTTTTTTAATTCGGCCCATTCGATTGTTGTTGTTGTTGTTATTATCATGGTTTTCAAAATCGGAACAGACCGGACGATCAAATTGGAAAAATCAGGAACCGGTCTCAACAAACTGCTGAACTAGCCAATTAACCATTTGAACGGTTTTGACCATTTTTCAATTTTTTTTAATTCGGCCCGTTTGACCCGAAACCGGATCCCTGACCAATTCGGTTGCCAAATCGGTTTTACAAAACATGATTATTATATAGGGTTTTCAAATTGTAACGTATGGAAAAGGAGGATATTTTTTAGGGGGAGGGGACAATTTCTGTAAAACAAAAAGTGAATTCATTGGAATACAAAAGGATGAATGAGGCATTGAGACTGAATTAAAATAATGAAACCGAACGCTCCCATTGCCTATAAAGAAACATGAATGCTTTTCAGCATTCAGCATTAAAACGAACGGGACCTAAGTTCATGCTTTTATTAAGGCTTGTCCTTAGGCCCAAGTCACCAAAACAGTTCCATGTGTGGTCCCATATAAGCCCTTTTCTAACATCACCAATCAGATTTAATACCTCGATTTATGATAAAACAATTTCAGCCTTTTGCCTTTTTCCCATTTAGTCTCATTCTAATACCAATGTTTGAAAGCTCATCTGACCTGGGTTTTCCTTAGGCCCAAGTCATCAAAACAGTTCTATATCTGGTCTCATATGAGCCCTTTTCAGCTTTCCAAAGTTGATTATAGGAAAATAATTTCAGTTTTTCTGCTCTTTTCCATTTATTCACATTGGAATATGTATAGTAGAAGGCTCCCAATTTGAGCTTTCTATCAAGTTTATGTTCACCATTACTGTTTTTTTTACTGATCAACTTATGTAGTGCCTAATGAAGTCTAATGGTGCCTAGATGTCAAACAACATTAAAAAAATGCTTATCAACCACTTTTATCGTTTTTCAAGATAAATCCCTTACAAAATATTTATTGAATAAATGGTTAATTAGGGGTCAATTTGCTGATTTGGGCTGTGGAAAATAAAAATTAGCCAAAAAGTATTTTCAATGCTTGTTAAAGTTGACTTTAAAGACTTGGCAAGCAAAACCAATTTAAGCCCCAAAACACAGACGTAAAGGCCCTGTTTGGATCGACTTTTTTAAAGTACTTTCATACTTTTGGAAGTATAAAAGTACAAAAAACACAACATACTATTTGTATTATGTACTTTATACTTTTTGTTTTCATACTTTTAAAAGTATAAAAAACCCCAAAAACATGGAGTTAGCTTTTTATACTTCATGCTTTTGGCGAAATAGTGCTTTTGTTTTTGTGTAAATGAGTGGTTACCCACCCTTCAATAAAACTCTCGACCCTACCTCCGCTTGCCGTTGCTAGAGTCAGATGACTGTCAACGGTCTCAGACCCCAAAACCATCGGAAACCGACACCAGAAGTATAAATAGACGTGCTTTTGCCAAAGAGAAAATGATATTTCTGTTTAGAAAAGCAGACTTTTCAATTTTTTTTTACCCAAATAGTTTTCAAAACAAAAATACAAGGTTAAAATATTTTGTGTACTTACACTTTGATGTTTTTTAAAAATATAAAAGTAAAAATCTATCCAAACAACGCCAAATTGAGGCATTGTGATTTTAGGCTCAGCCCAGACAACCAAAGCTCAATCAATCGATGGACATACTTGCTCATTCCTAAACCATTATTGCCTAGCAACTCGGGTGTTCAAAGTCATACAACAGACATTTTAGCTTTAACACCCCAACAGCCATGGGCCATGGCCTTTCCAACTTGTGGCCCAAAACCCCTCTTGAGTCCTGAGTCAAGTTGTGGGCATTATCATGAGTTGGAGCTCAAATTTGACATCAGGCAATTGCCACCAAAGAAACGCATAACGAGTGTAAAGTATTGAATCTGAATATGTGAATGTAAGCGAATGTGGCCCATGGTTCTAGACATGGACAAATAAACAAGGCCAAGAAACGCGGCAACAACCAGTCCATGAGGGCATTGACAAGCCCAAACATACAGTTGGGGTCAATTTAAAACCGGAACCCATTTGGGTTTTTGGCCCTTTCTTTATGTTCTGACAATTAGGATTCACCACCTTTTTGTATGTTCTTATCTCCATTAAAATTAATAAAGTGAATTTGGATTTCATTCTCATAAAACCGTCTTTACAACACTGTTCTTACAACCTTTTGCAGCCATGCATAGAGAATATCTCTATATTTGAATGTTTTATTCATGCAACCTTTTGCAGCCATGCATAGAGAATATCTTTATATTTATATGTTTTATTCATGAAAAAATAGTCCCAATACACAGCTCCAGCTGAGAATATAAAGACGGTATAAGGATGAAATTGAAATTATAATAAAGCTGATATTTGCCCTAGGTGTAGGTCATAAAAATGATAACATCTTTACTGGACAGCATTGCATGTGCTCTTACACTTAAAATTACTAATTTACTATTATAGTGTAAGGGGCATGTGCAAGCAAAGATGAAAGGGCAAAAACATAACTTTTTTATGACCTGCACAAAATCATTGTAAATATATGCTTTATATAATACTAATATAACACCGTGTGCTATACATATGTGCAAATATTAATTGGGGGGAAGGGTGTGGAATCTGGATTTGCTCCTCATAAAGCTATGCTCACAGCTCACACCAAATTGCAGCCATTCTTTTTTGGAACATCTGGCCATGGAATGCGACAACATAAGTATGGAAGGTGTTCCTAATGCAAGACTGAAAGTATTCGAAATTGGTGCGAGGAGTGTTCTATGAAGGGTAATCCGGGATTTGATAGGACAACCCTCCTTTTTGTATTGAACCTCTTTTATCTCCCAACTTTTAATGTTATTTTTAATTTATCTAAAAAATAAGAATAAACCATATATGATATATAGTATTTGGATTTAACTTAAGTATCTCTTTTTATATAATATGATCCCACCTTACCATTTTTTTTTATATTGTACTTCACAAATTTTTATTTGTTTTTTAATTTTATTTTTCAAAAGCCTTCACCTATGATATAATATTACGTTTTTTATAAGTGTAAAAAAAGAGAGAAATCTAGAATTCTTTTTTGATAAAGAGAAATTTAGAATTCAATCCACTTCAAAAACTTCTATTAGTTTTTCAATTTTATTTAGCTACAATGAACATGGAGTTCATGTTCCGAGTCTCGATCTCCTCTCAACAAAAAAATGTCCCAACACGCTACTAACGTGATTTGCACCCACACTTTGTCCTACATTGTGGACCCCACTCATTTGATGAGATGTGCGGG